CAATATTATAATAATCCTCGCTCTACAATCATAACCTAGGAAAAACCAGGCCATACAGAGACAGGGGCTGGGGGGGACATAATGAGAAGTGACCCGAGGATGCCCGTTGCCAAGCAGACCATGGTCTAGCAATAGCGTCAGTGTCAGGGAAAAACACCCACTACTTAGCAGACCGGGAAGGGGAGTCTCCCTTTCCCTGGGTAGTTTAGAGAAGACTGTACTCCTCCACCTCTTGTGGAGGGCCTGACATCAGTCAGCCCCACCCGCAGTTATCCGGAGGCCTAATCATCTCCCTGTGATGCTGTGCTTCAGTGGCCACGCTCCCAGTCCGCCTTCACGTTCCATCCTGTACACCTGGCTCTGCCTTCTAGATAGCAGTAGCAAATTAGTGAAAGTATTAAAAGTCTTTGATATGCAGAAATAATGGCCTAAGATCTCTCTCTCTCACCTGTCTTTCTCTCTGCCTCGGCTGCCAGGCAGGGAAGAGTCCTCCGTCCAGTGGACACATGACCCACATGACCTTACCTATCATTGGAGATGGCTCACACTCCTTACCCTGCCCCTTTGTCTTGTATCCAATAAATATCAGCGCAGCCTGGCATTCAGGGCCACTACCAGTCTTCAGGTTTTGGTGTAGTGGTCCCTCGGGCCCAGCTGTCTTTTATCTCTTTGTCTTGCATCTTTATTTTTACAGTCTCTCATCTCCGCACACGGGGTGAAATACCCACCGACCCTGTGGGGCTGGTCCCTACAATTAGTAGTAAGATCAGGGGTTATAGTCGACATTTGGGTCATTTCTAGGATGTTCTCCATTAAATTTTCCCAGGGAGTTTATTGTCTGAAAGAGCCTGGAATTCTGGAGATTTTCTTCTGCCCAATACTTTAAGACTTCCTAGGGGAGGTTCCAGAACTGATCCAGAATCTGCAGAGTGTTGAAGAACCCCTTTAAACATTAACCATTATATACGAATGTGTCAGTTTTTTGTCAGTGTACATCAGAAATTCTAAGTGCTACCTATGACCCTGTCATTTCATCTTCTTGTCCTCAAAATTCTTCATCCACAAGAGGATGCTGGTAATAGTGACTCAAGATTCAGAAGTGCCACCTACTTTAGTCTTTTTCTTTAGCTCCAGGCAAGTTGCTGTTGTGGCCCTACTTCCAGTGACTTGAGAATTTCCTCAGAATAAGTTTTCTGACTTGTAACCAGAAGGAGGTTATCAGTTCAGTTTTTAAATATGGAAATAACTTCTAGTCTCTATTTGGCTTTTAACAGGTAACATCGGTATGTTGTACAGGTGATCTTCTCTGACATTTGCATTTTCTTGCACCATGTTTGAGCTCATCATCTTTGAAATCTTAGGAGTATTGAATAGCAGGTGAGTAAGAGTACTGAATAACTCCTCTTGAAGAGTTCTGTGCTACATTCTTTACAGTGGAAAATCTACCTGGATCCCATAACTGAAACAAACAAACAAACAAACAAAAAATCAAAAACAAACAAAAATACTGTGTTAATAATTTGGTCTCAGTAGCTACAATGATCACAGCAGATATGGGTCACAGCCACCTAATAGCTGGTTTGACAAAGATTATGAGAAACCAGGAAAAAAAAGATCTGACCATTAACTCTGAAGAACTCATTGGAGTGAGGCTGTGAAGCCTCAAACTAGGCTTCACTCCTAGAAGCTTTATTTTTCCAGGACTGCTCGCTGACTGAATCCCAGTAACACCCCTTCACATTGTTCTGCTGATTGAAAATCTCTACCTGAAAAGGTTAGAATTCCTCAGAGATACTTAACAGTCTCTCTGAAGACTGAGCTCCAGTTCTTACTTAACTTAGTTACTTTGATTGATTTTACAGTATTGGTCAAGTTTGGTTGAATTTAAAGTGTTTCTTAAAACACTTTTTTAAAGTAACTTTTTACTCCCCTCCAAATAATAGACCTGTTAGTTTATTAGACAGTCTATCCAAAATATTTATTGCTTCTTAATCTGCAAGCTTGAGTGTTTTTTTAGGCCAGCATTTATATGTAGGGTTCATCAACTATGCTATGCAGACTTTGTTGTACTTTTTTATCACTACCTGGAAAAACCTTTTAATAGTAAAGTAGTCTTTCACTCTAAAGTTAGGACTCAGCGCCAAAGTAAGTTCACTGTACACCCCTGACACTTGAGACTTGTAGAGAGACTGTACTCTCAAATCCTTTGATAATCAGAGTTGAAAACAGAATTTAAATTAAAAAGAAAAACTTACTGTACAAATGGTTAATCACAAAACATGAAAGGTTCAAAAAAGAGAGAGAGGCCAGACACAGTGGCTTACACCTATAGTCCCAGCACTTTGGAAGGCTGAGGCCGGAGGATCACTTAAATGCAGGGGTTCAAGACCAGCCTGGGCAACAAAGTGAGAACCTGTCTCTACAAAAAAATAAAAAAAAATTAGCAGAGTGTAGTAGTACACACCTATAGTCCCAGCTACACTAGACGCTGAAGCAGGAGGATCCCTTGAGCCCAGGAGTTTGAGAATGTGCAGTGAGCTGTAATCACTGGACAAGACAGTGAGACCCCCATCTCTTAAAAAAAAGAGTGAGAGAGAGAGAATCAGAGTTGATAATAATGGTCTCTTGATAGAACAATGAATAACATGTATTATAGTAAAATAGAAGTATGTTCTGATTCTCCTACTTTTAAACTTTAATAATCCAAACCTTTTTTTGGATGAGCTAGATATAGATCCTATGACTATAGAGAATAGACAAGTATTATTTTACATAATGGTTATTAAATTTTATTATCACAACCTGCATCTTTCACTGCTATTTAAGCAGGGGTTGGCAGACTTTCTTCTGTAAAGGGACAGATAGTAAATATTTTAGGCTTCTGTGGACCAGAAGCTTTCTATTGCAACTACTCAGCCCTGCTGTTGTAGAGCGAAAGTAGTCACAGGCAATATATAAACAAACGAGCATGACCATGCTCTAATAAAACTTAATTTGTAAAAGCAGGTGGCTGCCAGGCCATCGTTTGCCAACTACTCATCTAAATATAGATATAGAGGATTCAGATATTCCAAAGCTATAGTTACTATTTTTGGTAGATGATGTCCCCCAGCTTTTAACTTATAGTTAATAACCCATATAGTAAGAAACATCAGTCGTACTGTGGTGTATATTTCTTAAATTTCTTAATTAGTTAAGAAGTAGCATTGCTGAAATCTCTTTCTTCTTTGTGTGTTATATAGAGGATTGGGTTTGTTCAGTCTGAGACATGTCTTCAGTTATACCTGTTTTTTCATGCTAATGTTTCACCCAATTATGGAACACAAATGTGAACCTTGATGATGTAGTATAACTCTCCATTGACTGGACTCAGAATTGTTTCGAAAAGAGAATCTTGGCCACAATATTCCTATGAGAAATCTTATGCCATCCTTATATTCAGTCCTCCATATGTAACATGTTCTTTCCCCTTTTATTCCTTTTAGGATTTCCTTTTTATCACTGGTTTTGATGGATTTGATTAAGATGTTCCTTGGTGAAGTTTTCTTCGTGTTTCTTGTTCTTAGGATAATCACAGTTCTGTAATATTTGAAGTTTATGGTTTCCATGAAGCTCCTTAATCTTTCATCCAGTATGTTTTAAATATTTTTGTCTCTATTCTCCACTACATGCCCTTCAGGGATTCCATTTAGCCCTATACTAGGTATTTAAAGTTTTTATGCTGATGGTCCTTTTATGTTTTCAAGTCATTTGTTACTGTGTGTTTCATTTACGTTTGAACTTCTTTTCCTTCTAGTTCAATAATCTTCTCTTCTGCAGTGTTTAATCCAGTGCCTTCTTCCATTTCAGACTGTAAATCATAGTTTTTATCTACAGAATTTGATGTTTAAAAAATCTTCAACCTCTCCATTTAACTAAAATACAATTATAACTGCTGTAATGTCCTTTTCTGCTATTTCCAACATGTGTGTCAATTTCAACTAGATTATTAGATTCTTCATTATGTGTCATGTTTCCCTGCTTCTTTAGCTGCTTGATATTCTTTTTATTTTATTTTATTTTTTGGGATGGAGTTTCACTTTCGTTGCCCAGGCTGGAGTGCAATGGTGTGATCTCAGCTCACTGCAACCTCCGCCTCCCAGGTACACAAGCAATTCTCCAGGTACAAGCGATTCTGTGCCTGGGCAGGTCATTGACTTTCACTGGGATTTTTTTTTTCCACATCTAGCAACTTAAGTTGGCAATTAACTTTCTCAAAGAAGTTATGTGAGAATGAATGAGACCTAAACATTGCCTCTTCCGTCTGGCAGCTATTAACCTCTATTAGTTATGGTGTTCATGCTGGGGCAGGTACTGTTTTCAGATCTCAGTGGATATTCAATCATTGGATCCTCACAAGGCCATGAGGCACATACTATTATCCCTGTTTTGTAGAGGAGGAAACAGACTTCTGAAGCTAAGTAACTTGTCCAAGCTAACATAGCTAATAAGTAGCAGATCCAGTATCAACCTAGGCAGTATGGCGCCTCCCTTTCCTCCACCATGTGCCGGCGGTTAGTACAGAAATAGAAACCATCACTATGATAGCATATACAGTGTTTAGTATTCCTTTCAGCAATTCGTTTTATGCTTCCCTCTATAAAGTTACACTGGGGAGAAAACAAATAAATGAATGGAGTGTCCATTTATCCTCATCTAACATTAATTGTTACATGCCCTGAACAAATAGGAAAAAGACTTATTTCAGAAAACAATATGTATGTAAGTGGCCACCAGAGATAGTTTTCTGTATTGTTTGTATTCACTCCTGGGACATGTATTTAGAGACTTCTGTGTTCCAGGCCTGTGCTAGATCTGGTAAAACAAAAATGAGTAAAATGTGATACTTACTCTCAAGAATCTCACACCTCCTTCTTCTATGATAGATTCTTATAAGCCCTTTAATATTTAGTAGAGGCAGTTCTTTCCTCCAGAAACTTACAGTGTCCTTTCTGCATTAGGATCTTAGTGCAACATTGCTGTGCAAACTTGGACCAGGGCAGAGTGAGATAGCAGAGGAGCTGTGCCAGCGTCTACAGCGAAAGGAAAGGATGCTGCAGGACCTTCTAAGTGATCGAAACAAACTAGTGGTGGAACATGAAATGGAGATTCAAGGCCTGCTTCAGTCTATGAGCACCAGGGAGCAGGAAAGCCAAGTAAGGATTAATGCACAGATCAGAAAAGTATCATGTAGTGCATTTATAGTCTGCAAATAGGAAGCATTTGCAGACTATAGATGTGTGTATGTTTATATATTTTACAGTCAACTCTGTTAGTTTTTTTCCTTCTATTTATTACCTAGACCACAGTTTTATTTATTTACTTATTTAGAGGTGGGGGTCTTGCTGTGTTGTGCAGGCTGGTCTCGAACTCCTGGGCTCAAGCAATCATCCTGCCTTGGCTTCCCAAAGTGCTGGGATTATAGGTGTAAGCTGCTGTACCTGGCCTAAGACCACAGTTTTACATTAATCATCAAAGTATGAAACATTTCTTGAAAACCTTGCATTTGGAAGGGTGCCTAAACAATACATGTATCCATTAACTTCATTACATACATTTTCTTTGCCTTAATAATCTGATCATTTAAAATCTGAGTTATCTTAAGAGGAAAAAAGATTGCATTTTTCAGAGTTCATGGTGAGAATAAAGAATCTCATAATAGTATGGGGTATATTAATTTCACAATATTTAAGAAGTAAATTCCTTTTTTGTTTTTTTTGTTTTTTTTTTTTTTTGAGAAGAGAGAAGATAGTGCAAGCCTTAATGGAAAGAAATTCAGAATTACAGGCCCTGAGCCAATATTTAGGAGGGAGAGACTCCCTGATGTCCCAAGTACCCAACTCTAACCAACAAGCTGAAGTTACCTCCAGTGGCCCCTGCTCTTGGAGAAAAGACTGATCAAGTAAGAACTATAGACTTAGATAATTCATACTGACTACATTTCCTTTTTACATTTGAGGTGTATGTTTGATCATTTTAATACCAAATTCTGAGAATATTCTCAGTCCTGTCATTGTGATCATAGTTCCTGCATCCTCCTAAGTCCCCCGACTTTTCCAGTTTTTTAGGGTTCAATGCAGATACCTTCCAGAGATGGTAGCACTTCACTGACTGCCAAAGAGGATGCCAGCATACCCAGATCCACATTAGGTAAGTATCAAATTTCATTTCATTAAGGGACTTTGTTTTTCTCTTGTTTTTCCTTCTAGTAATCTCCATATTAATAGGTTTGGCCAAGACTCTTTTCTCTTCCTATCTTAATGGAACAAATAAGTTTGGAATTCCTCTGAAAGGCTGAAGAACTGTCCTTACCTTATGTTGAGTCGAGGTTATTGCTTTGGGTTCACAATTTGGCCCAGAGAAACTCTTATCTTTATTCTCCTTTTCAGATAGTTTTGCAGGGATTCAGAAATGCAGGAGGTAGTGGTTCCAATCCTGCAGAGTAGGACCATGAGCTGATACCTTTTCCTGGGTATTTTTCAAGTCTGGGGCCACTCAGTGTAACTTGACATCACCTACATTAAACCATTAGGAAGGGTAGGCAGTGTACATTAAGTTATTTGCCAAACCTAGCCCCATTCAGGGGATGGTTTAGAAAAGTCTTACAAGTAGTCATTCTCTAGTAGGAAAACTTTATACTAATCAAAGAGTAAAAGAATGTTGGATTTGTTTTATTTATTCTTTATTTGCCTTTTTGAAAAGTGTACTTTTCCCTAAAGTTTTTTATTTTTGAAATTTCAAACCTACAGAAAAGTGGCAAAAATAGTACAGTGAATACTCATAGACATTTTTATTCAGACTTACCAGTTATTAACATTCTGCCACATTTGCCTTTTTTCTTTCTATTACACACACATTTGTAGTTGTAATGTATTTTCTGAACCATTGGAGAATTTCTTACAGAAATCATGACACTTTATTCCTGAATACTCCAGTAAGTGTTGCCTAAGAACAAGGGCATTCTCCTACATAGCTACAATATAATTATCACACTCAGGAAATTTAACCTTGGTATAGGCTTAGTATCTAATATACAGTCCACATTCAGAGTTTCTGTTGTCCTGATAATGTTCTGTATGGCTACTTTGGTTTCCCCCAACCCAGGGGTTATGCATTGTGCTTAGTTGTCCTGTCTCTTAGTCTCTGATCTAGAACGATTGTCTAGCTTTTTTCTTTTTTTCTTTAGTGAGATTGGCATTTTTTTTTTCTTGTTAGCTGGATATATTTCTTTTTTTTTTTTTTTTTTTTTTTTTTTTGATCACAGAATACTGTTTGCAGTAGAGGAAACTGGCATTGCAGTCTGGTGGTATAATGGCTTGTTCACAGAAACCAGTACCTGTTCATCCTTTAGCGCAAAAAGCCCTAATGGCGCGTACCCTATTAAAATTCAGGACATCTCCAATATTATCTCTCTCTGTTTTTCTTTGTCATCTTTTTTTTTTTTAATAAACATTTTCAAGGTTTGTTCAAAAGAAGGCCATATAGGTTCTTGGCTAGCAGAAGACAATTCAGAACAGCTATTGCATACTTGAACTCTCACCTTCTCTAGGCTGGCAGTTGATATCTTCTTTCTTTTCCAACTCATTTTTATTAAAAAAATTTTTTAAATGCTCCTACTATCAGTTTTAGAAAATCTCTAAGGGAAACACAACAGTAAGGTGCTGAGGTAAAAAAACACCTGAGGTAGCTTTTTCTGTGTGTTTTTCTCATTTAAAAAATCTGTAAATTTAATGCCCTGGGCCAACAACCTTGATAAATTTCTACTTTCCTCCACATTTTTTTTTTAAAGAAAGAAATCATTTTGCTGAATATTGCTGAATTTCACTGTGGATTTTTTTCTTTGTGTGGTTGATTGGTTGGTTTGATGGGTTCCTGTTTTCCTCTTCCAAAACGCGAGGAAAAGTACCATTGACTCTTGTTCTTTTGAGTAACCAAGTGTAAGTTGAGGCTGGTTTGTGTGTTTTGCTTTTGTTCCTTTCGTGTGATGTGATATTTGGAGCACTGCTTTGCCTAGGAGGGGGTGGGGTGCGTAGATACGGGATTGAGATGGAGGGATGAGGGAATTCAAAAGAATGGAGATGGAGAAGAAGGGGAGGGGAGGGAGGGGAGAGATAAACAGAGAGAGACAGAGAATTATATAGCAGTATGCAAAAATCCAGTTTAAAACCTGTGAAGCAGAGAAATGGGTGTATGAGCTAGACAGGCATGAGGAATGACAGAGTTTCCTCTTCAAGGAGACGGTATCCCTTCTGTTGACATACACAGGCGATCCAGAACTGCGTGAGTGTCCTTCCGACAAGATTTCCCTCTGGGTGAATTTTGTGTGGGTGGCCTCAAAGCTCCTCTCCACACTGTGAGACCTCCCAAAGAAAGACTTTATTCTTTAAAGTCTAGAAAAGCCTGCTTTCTCCTTAGAAAGAAAAAATTAATGATTGATTAAAAATTGGAGTTAGTTATTTGATATATTATTTCTAAAATATATTACCGCTGCAGGCACCCTGTGTAACCCACAGACCACATATCTTAACATCTTCCCCTTCTAATATGTACACACATGTACAGAGACGATTTGCCACCAGAAAAGGGTGTGCATGTTGCTTGGCTTTGAACACGTTCACCTATGTTAGTTCAACTAAAAGGGATAGTGTCGTGGGAGTTAAGAAGAGATCCGAATGGATGGCGAAGTGGATGGCTGAAGCCTGCAGAAGCCCTGGGGGGCGAGAGGCAGGCCCCGTGGTTCTGGCAAACCTGGCTGACCTTCCCCACCCCTCCTCAGTCCCTGGGATTCTCGGGGCCTCTGCAGAGTCCCTGGCCGCCTCCGCAGACTTCTCATTCCTCAGATGGTCTTTGGTTTGCTCCCGATCTGGCTGGCTGTGTTTGGTCTCATTCTGTCAGGTGTTGGAAGGGCTCCGTTCATCTGTTGTTTTGCTGGTGCCTGTGGGAGCCTCACTTGCTGCGCCGTGAGACAACTCCCTGAAGGTATTTCTGCTCCTGCTGCTTCACCTGTTGTACAGTTTCTCTGATCTTGCGCTGTGCAGTCTGGCTAGCAAAGAAGTATCCGATAATTCCGACGATCACTTCTGCATTTTCATCTGGCTTTTCGTTACGAGGCATGATGACTTCTGCACTGGTTAAGTTCTGCGGTTCATTCACGGTCTTGCCACCTTTGCCAATCACCCGGCCAGCTGTGGAAGAGGGCATTCTGACATGGGCTTCCAGCTTCACTTCTTCTTTGGGGTTAAAGTAGTTTTCTTCTTTCAGTTTCCCAAAGATCCGTCCCTGGGCCTAGAGCTGGGCTTCTGGTGGCCGGGTGATGATGACCATCCTTTCGCTGAGGTCTGGGCCTTTCGTAGGGGCGATCTTGATGGAGGCTCCGGCAAATCTCGCCAGCTGTTTGATGTGTGCCCCCTTCTTCCCGATGATGGCGCCCACAGCCTGGGTGGGATGAAGAGATTCACAATCTCCTGCTCTGGGTAACTGATGATGCGAGATCGGGCCAAACTGGTGATGGGGGTGCAGGCTGGAGAAGTATCTGGAGTGGGTATTAACAGCCAACATATCATTTTCAAAGGCCTCACGCAGCTTCTTCATAATCTCTATCTCAGCACTGGCACAGGCCTCAACTGTGCCCTTCACAGTGATGGTTCTTTCCAGGTTGTATATGCTCAAATCCTATAAAGATGAGATTGCTATCTTGATCCCTGTTTCATGTTCAATTTTCTTCAAATTCCTGCCTTCTTTTCCAGCCAGTCTTCCAACCAAGCCATTGTGGGCAAAGATTTTTAGAGGAATCTCTTTGGCTAGTTTGGTCTCATCTGCCTCTTTCTGCGTGATTTCGGGAATCATGCGGCGTGCTTCAGAAGTCCCCCCTGGGGTGACATGGATGGTGACAAGCTTCTCTGCAGCTCCAGAGTTCTCTTTTCTATGGATGTCTACCTGGGACCGGGTCTGCTTAGTGATGTTCTTTATGGTCAAGCCCTCCTTTCCGATGATGGCACCAACAAACTGGGTGGGGACCAGGATCCTCAACAGGAAATCAATCTGTCTAGCCTGAGAAGCACCCCCAGGGGCTGACCTTGCTCCCTGGGGAGAGTAGTCCCCACCCTGGGCTCGCTGAGGGGATGAAGGGGAGCTCACCTCTTCATCCGGGATGTAGGAAATCTTGAAGACGTGGTTCTCACACTGATGCCCGCTTAGCTTCTCCATGTTTATTTTCTTCTCTTGTTGCATGTGTGACATTGACAACAGCGGTTTCTGTGTCTGTGTTGACTTGTTCCACACTCTCCACTGTTCCATATTGAGCCAAAAGTTCATCCAACACCTCCCACTGCAGGCGAGGAGGGATGCTTCAAATCTGAATTTTCCTGCTCCTTAGCTTTTTAGAGACTGAGTAATCAACTTCCACGATTTTCCCATGCAATTCCACTTTACACGAGAGGGTCTCGATGGCTCGGATGGCCCAGTTCTGGTCGGGGTAGTCCACGAAGGCATAGCCAGACTTGAGCAGGACCTGTCCCATGGGGGGCAGCATCCTCTCCCCAAAGAGCTGCCGGAGGTGGTCAGTGGTGACCATGGGGCTCAGGTTCCCGATGTAAAGCTTGTTCATCATCCATCTCTTCCCCAAGAGCCCGCGGCTTCCCTAGCCTGGTACCCAGCGCTCCTCACCTCCTCCGCTGCCCTCATCTCTCCTCCTCCTCCTCCACCACCTCTCCCCACCCTCCACCTGCCCGCTACCCACTCCCACCCTCAGCCTGGCTCCCCTCACCACTGCAGGCCCAGCCCGCCTGGGGGCAGAGGCCGAGATTGGCATTTTCAAAGAATCCAGGCCAGCTAATATTCCTCAATTTAGCTGTGATTGTTTCCTCATGGTTAGATTTGAGTTAAACATTTTTGGCAGGAATACCATATGGATGACTTCCTTCCTTCCTTCCTTCTTTACTCCCTTCCTCCTTTCCTCCTTTCCTCCCTTCCTCCCCTCCTCCCTTCCATCTGGCCTGCCTGCCTGCCTCCCGGTTTCAAGCCATCTTCCCGCCTCAGTCTCCCAAGTAACTGAGACTACAGGCATGCGCCACCATGCCTGGCTAGTTTTTTTGTATTTTTTCTTAGAGACAGGGTTTTGCCATGTTGGCCAGGCTGGTCTGGAACTCGTAGCCTCAAGTGATCCACCTACCTCAGCCTCCTAAAGTGCTGGGATTACAAGGGTGAACCACTGCGCCTGGACTGGATGACGTCTTTTTTAGTGCATCACATCAGTGCGTGATAATCAGTTTGTATCATCCTTGGTGGTATTAAATTTAGTCATTTGGTTAAAGTTGTAGCTGTCAAATCTCTCTGTTGTAAAAGGTTTATTTCACCCTTAGTATATAAGTGATCTGCTGGCTGAATTTAAACTATATTGGTAGTTTAAAAATAGTGATTTTCAGGGTTGGGCGCGGTGGCTCATGCCTTTAATCCCAGCACTTTGGGAGACCGAGGTGGGCAAATCACTGGAGCTCAGGAGTTTGAGACCAGCCTGGCCAACGTGGTGAAACCCTGTCTCTACTAAAAAATAAAAAAATTAGTCGGGCTTGGTGGTGCATGCCTATAATCCCAGCTACTCAGGAGGCTGAGGCAGGAGAATTGCTTACCCTGGAAAGTGGAGAGATTCCCCACCCCACCCCCCACACTCCAGCCTGGACAACAGAGCAAGACTCAATCTCAAAAAATATATATATATATATATGATTTTCTGTTTGTAAAATTTCTTCTTTGTTTATTTGTGGGTATTATTTGTAAAGAAGAGCTGTCCTTTCCCTATCTCTATACCCCATTTGTTTTTATCAATATGGAGTTTTAAAAATCATTATATTATTGATTTTGGTCGTTATTTCCTTTAATGCTCAAATTAACCCATATTTGGTCATTGGGAGCCTCATCAAGCTTTGCCATATCCCCATCAGTTTTTTGTTTTTTTTTTTTTTTTTTAAGCATAGTTTCATAGTTTCTGGCACAGTAAGATGTTCTATGATTACCTTTTGCTTTACCTGCCTCAGTCCCAGAATCAGCCATTATCCTAAAGAGCTCCCTGGTTCCTTTTGGTGGGTAATGGCATTCAGAAACTGTGATCTGGGCACAAGATGTGTTCATTGCTACATGAATGCCCTTTGCTTTTAGCCCTTTTAAGTGAACAGAGCTAGCAATGAATATTTTTAAGTATATGTGTGTGTAATTATATACATATGAAGATTTGATACTGATTTCTGTAATTCCAATTTAACAATATAGGTTCTTTTTTCCCTCATTTCATATTTGTATCTCTTTGAGAGCCCTGGTTACTTAGAGCATCAATATGTTTCAAAATATTTACACATTTGCAGAATACTGTAATATGCAAAAGTTGTTTCAGAATTGCTACATAAATCCCACCATCAACAATAAATGTATTAAGTAATGTTTAAGATTTTTTTGTAATTCTTTTTATCCTTAGGATATTTTGCACTGACAGTGTTCAGTTAGAGTAGTGAGTTCAAAAATTATTTGGATTAATTTTTTAGTATCTTCTGGGTGGTTTTATTTATTTGCTATATATATTTATTTATTTATATTAGTATTCAATTTTAGACATTCTCTCTCCCATTAATTGTCAAGCTGACTTATACGTTAAAAATTAAACATTTACACAGTTCAAAACTCCACTATATAAAATGATATACTCAGATGTCCCATATTTCCCTATCCCTTCTCTCCTGTTTCCACTCGTCTCCTGAAGGTAATCAGTTTCATTTCTGGGTTATTCTTCCTATATATCTTTGTAAAAATAAGCAAATGAATCATCTGTGTATATGTGATGTATATATGTACATTCTCATTTCCCCTTTTTCCTAATAGAAAACCTACTACCTTAGATGTAAGCACATAGCTTGTTTTACTTAACATATTCTTAGAATCTCAAAGTCACTTCATATAAGTTCATAAAGATCATCCTTATTCTTTATTTACAGCAGTATATAGTGCCATCTGTGAATATGCTTTACTCAATCTTTTCTTTATAGTATCTAGGATGATTGCAATATTTTGCTATTATAAATAATGCTACAAAGAATAACCTGTGTGTATGTTTTCTTTTTTCTTATTATTGGAATGTGTCCCCTGTAAATTACTCAAAGGAGGCAGCAGATATCACATTATGTTAATAGCAATTAAAACTAGTGCTGTATTTTCATCTTAGGAGACTTGGACACAGTTGCAGGGCTGAAAGAAGAACTGAGTAATGCCAAAGCGGAACTTGAACTCATGGCTAAAAAAGAAAGAAAAAGTCAAGTGAGTTTTCTAGTCAAGTCTTAATTTCTAAATCCCTATTATTTTTTCTTTCAAAATAGTTTATATTTAAAAGTATATAATTTTCTAAGTATAATATCTGAGTCCAAATGCCAGGTATGACTTTTTTCTTTTTGGAGAAAAATATGAGTTATTTTATATATACATTATCTCAAAAAGATGCTCCTGTTTTTAGATTGGGACCATTAAAACTTACTAAGTGCTGGAAAACCGTAACCCTCTCTCCCCGTTGCTAAATGGAATAAAATAATTGTAAAGGCCGGGTGTGGTGGCTTGTGCCTGTAATCCCAGCACTTTGGGAGGCCGAGGTGGGCAGATCACCTGAGGTCAGGAGTTTGAGACCAGCCTGGCCAATATGACGAAACCTCGTCTCTACTAAAGATACGAAAATTACCTGGGTGTAGTGGCGCCTGTAATCCCAGCTCCTCAGGAGCCTGAGGCAGGAGAATCGCTTGAACCTGGGGAGGCGGAGGTTGCAGTGAGCTGAGATCGTGCCATCACACACCAGCCTGGGCAACAAAGAGCAAAACTCTGCCTCCAAGATAATAATAGTAATAATAATAATTATTATATATTATATAATGTATAATAATAATTATATAATAATATATTATATTAATATATTATTATATATTATATTAATTATGTATAATATGTAATTATTAATATAATATATAAATATATTAATATAATATAATAAGTATAATAATAATTATTATTATTATAAAGCATTAGTGAAAAAAGGGAGTGTTGTGTGATTGCTGCTTAGCGTTATGACATTAGACCCATGAAATTAGTTTTAGAAACATGAAACGAGAAATTTGAGTACAATCAATGTTTATCAAGTATTCATGTGCAATGTACTGTGCTAGGTATTTAAATTAGCACTAATACTCACAGCTCTACACAAAGTAAGTGGTGTCGACCCAATAATTATAGACGAAGAAGCTGAAACACTGAGTTCTCCTTTAAAATGGGAGTGGAAAATAGTCATGTAATTAATAAATGCCAGAGCTATGATTCAAACTCAAGCCTTTTGTGACTTCCCTTTCTTCCTAAGAAGATTCATTTCCTAGAGCACATTTTTCCCACCTTACGCTTTAACTCTCTCTAGCATAGAGTTCTCATCAATTTTTTTAGAAGAGGCCTTTCAGCCTTAGAGATTCCCTTCCCCCTGCATTTCCTCCACAGCTAGCTGCATACTCAACTATGATGCTGAAGAAATGCTAGGACCACAGCGCAGAGTTACAGACTGAAACTGAAAGCTTGTTTGTTACTATGTTGGCATCTCTTTTAGAAGATCAGTCAGTGTCATGGCTTCCTGAATTCAGTTTAGCTAGCTAGTCCAAATAGCTCCTTAGTTTTTTTCTACCTTTTGCCATAGCTAGATCTATAATATAAAACCTGTGTTTGTATTTGCGATAGAATTATCATATTTTATCTTTTGATTTCATTGCCATATTTCTGCTTACAAACAGACTCATGTTTTATGACTCAATTAGTTTTCAGGATATGAGAATGTGTGGCATTTAAGAAACACCAGTTTTAAAAATCCCCTAGTCTCCCTTTTTGTGGTTTTACCTCAGCTGTTATCTGATTATTCATATCAGATATTTTAGTTTCCACATCCTCTTCCTGTTTTTCTCACATTTATCAAATCCAGAGTAATGTTACTTTTTGGTTCTGTCCTGTTTTCAGGATCATGAAATTGTAATGCCTGTGAATGGGTATTTTGAGTGGGTGATATTTAACTATTGCTAAATTCCTTTAAAGGGTTTCTTTAAAATAACTTGTCCTTACCATAAAGACTGTATGGATATGTGGGATCTACAGGAAAGACATTACAGCCTAGTTTGAATTCCACCTTACAGGCTTTTAAAGATAAAAAAAGAGAATATGACATTGATTTGAAAACTATAAAATAGTATCAAAAGCTTAAGTACTAAGATAGTGGGCTTTTTAAGTCCTAGTACATGCTAATGCATTTTCTTGTTTCTCAGGGTTAACTGTGGCTTCATGTCTCACTGTGCCATTTGCGTGTTGCTTCTTCTCTCTTCTTTTCTCAGTTGCTGCTGATGCTAGAAGGACTAGTAGATGAACGGAGTCGGCTCAATGAGGCCTTACAAGCAGAGAGACAGCTGTATAGCAGTCTGGTGAAGTTCCATGCCCATCCAGAGAGGTAAGAGACTGGCTGTTTTTCCTTTTATTCTTTATTGAAATCTTTATTTCTTTTACTATTGTATTCTTTTTATGCCTTTTATTCTTCATTAAGTGCAGATGCTTATGATACTGAAGAGGGGAGAAAAAGCAGGGACAATTACTGGGGCTACCCACTTTGTCATTTGTTTTATGGATTGCTCTGAGCCTCAGTGTCAAAATCTCAAGTTGGGAATAGTGCCTGTTTCACACAACTATTGCAGAGATTAAATAAGAAGACAGCTTTGGTGTCTGAAACAATGCCTTGCATAGAGTAGCCACTCAATGTATGTTCATTTCTGTGATCCATGTCCTATTAAAAGCTGTTCTATTATAAACATAAGGCTATATATACCCTGTCTCTACTACAAATACAAAAATTAGCTGGACGAGGTATTGTACACCTGTTGTCCCAGCTACTCAGGAGGCTGAGGCAGAAGAATCTTGAACCTAGGAGGCAGAGGTTGCAGTGAGCCAAGATCGCGCCGCTGCACTCCATCCTGGGCAACAGAGTGAGACTCCATCTCAAAAAAAAAAAAAAAAAAAAAAAAAAGTAAGGCTATAATGGACACTGATATTCATTTTAATATCATCGAAGAAAATATATTAATTGGGATGGCTAAATCATCCTGGGACCACCGATAACTATCATGATGAATATATTTTCTTCTACCTCTTGATTTTTGGTTGCATATATGATACCTCTCCGGATCATTTTATATTCTCTTCATTTATTTTTCTCATTTTGCCTTCCCTACTAGCCCTTTTTACTCTTTTTTCAATTTTTATTATTATTATTATTTTTGCTATTCAGTTTCTTGTAATTTATTGTTGGGCTTTAAAAATGTTTTCTTTCTACCAGGAAAATGAAAGCAGAGGAAAGGTCTGACAGGACCAGTTGATTGTGTTACTTTTTAAAGAGCCTCTGGAGCTTTAGTGTTTATGAACCAGATTCCTTTTCAGCACACCATCCCACAGTCAAGTTTGGTAACAAATGAGAAAACAAGTATCTTCAGTAGTGGTTCTACCTCGCTTAGTCTTGTTCCAGTTTATATTTAGTTTGTCCTGGGTTTTAGTTTTTCAGAAACAAGAGCTTTTAGTCAAATAACGAAATATCTCTTGTTTGGGGTATAGATGTGTGAGATAAGTCTTAGAAGCTATAATTTTAGGTGAAATTGGCCCAGAATCTAGTGTAAGGGGGAAGCTTTTAAAAAAAGGATCAGTCCTTACTCATCTATCAGCGGTGAACACAAATGCCACACAGACTACATTCATTTATTGTGTCCTGGAGAACAATTACTTTACAAAGTCGTGTGGCGCAAAGTGGCATTGATGGTTCTTTGGAAGCAAATGTGGACTCACTACAGTTGATGGCTAATCCATTTTCCTTCCATGTGGCGTGTTTAATCAGCTCTGAGAGAGACCGAACTCTGCAGGTGGAACTGGAAGGGGCTCAGGTGTTACGCAGTCGGCTAGAAGAAGTTCTTGGAAGAAGCTTGGAGCGCTTAAACAGGCTGGAGACCCTGGCCGCCATTGGAGGTGGGGAACTGGAAAGTGTGCGAATTCATCACAAGCATGCCTACTGAGCACTGGCGGGTCAGACTGCAGCCCAGGATGGAAAACCTTGTTTGCACTAACCAGAAAGATCCTTGTCTGACTTTGACAGAATTAAATGGTGACTTACTAATGATGGAACTGGTACAAGTAGCATCAACTACAAAGTTAAACTCACTTTAGTCTACATGGATCTCACTGTACATGCATATTCCTAAATTGAATGGTGGAGGTTGCAAAATATATTTGCACATTTTAAATCATTCTGTTTTAGTTTTTCCACTTTTATTCATTCTTATCCCTAGCCCCTTCTCATTCCCTCATCCCTTCTGTGGGCCAATAAAGTTTATTCTTCCCCCACTTTCACAATCCATTTCATATGTTCCATATCATATCATAAATGCATGTGTGTGTATTATTTTTGCCTTTCAGTCAACTCCTCTTTGAGTGAGAGCATTTTTTAAATCAAAAGAATGCCTATTTTAAGATGAGAGAGTGGGAAAAAGATTGAGAGTCTATAAGAATGACTTCGTAAAAGTGATATAATCCTTATCAGAAGGTAATCAAAACCAGAGGAGTAGTCTTGTAATAGTAGACTGCAAGTATTGAGAAGGCCAAGTTAAAGAACAGAGGCAAAAGCTGTGAAAGTGATCATAGTAAACTTTTATCTCCAATACTGTCTCAGAGTTGACTGTTGTACACAAGTGAAATTAGATTAGGTACAGATTTAAATTCTATTTAAAATTTGTTCTTTATTGATACCTTTAGGTTTCTTTAAACCAAAGTCATGCTATTTAGTCAGAACATGACTTCCAGAATGGTCTTCCAGAGTCAGAATTCTTTGTCTACAAAGATCATTTCAAATGTAGTATCCCTTTTTACATTCAGTGTTTCACCAAATAACTCATTATAGCCAAAGGAGGGTATTGCATCTTCCATTTGTGGCACTAGATAGGGTCCTAAGTTTTTCACTATTTAGTATGTATACATTTCTCCATATAAAAAGAAGTAATCAGCTTCAGGCTTTGAAGTGTTTGAATAGTTTAAAAAGAAATGTTACAGATGTATGTTTATAGCTTTAATCATTATCTCAATGCTTGCTTGTGGCAACATGACAGGTATAAGGAGAGGGGCACTGGAAATTGTATTTCTGATGTCTTGACAGTCAAGAGTGTGAAAAATAACCAAGATTGCTTTGCAGCTTTGTGGGTTCAACATCATGAATTTGTTTTTATTTCCTCTGGTTTTAAGTTTCCTAGGTTAGATGCTGAGGTTTCAGTTACTTTAAACATGGAATTGGGGAACAGCTTTGTAGCATAATAAATGTGACCGAATACCCTTTCTAAACTAAGTGGGGCACAATGATTTTTTTCCTTCCATTATTTTTTACATGACATTTTAGTTCTTTCACATGTTGACATGGCTTGTATTACATTCTAAATTTCATCTGTTTCTCTAACTTTAGCTGTGTCTATAACAGGTAGAGCGTCAGTCAAACTAGAGTGGACAGGGAGAAAATGTTCTACTGGGGAAGCACTCTGGAATCTTCTGATTAAGTAATTTGCAAAAGATTGATAGCCATAAGCCTTACTCTTAATGGATCTGCCATTTCAGTTTCAATGCCTTTTGCGGAAAAAGGAGTGTCATTTAAGGAAGGAGATAGGAAATGTAGGCAGATCCATCCACTTTTCTTAGTCTCCCAGTTTTAAGAAACCATTTCTTGCACAAAATGTTTTGTAACTTTCCAGAAGTAAAGAGGAAGGTAATGGAGTGTAGAAATGCCAACCCATCAAAGACTAGTTTGTCGTGTCATTACAACAAGGCGTTTAGGGAACGTCTTTCCTTAATTTTACTAATAGACCAAGGAAGCCTTCTGAGTCTGCTACTAACATTTGGCTCTGGGTGATTCTTTGTTTCTAATGGCTCATAGTGATTACAGTTTATGTTAATAATCACTTCTACTTCTGTCAACCTCCAGCAAGAGTAGATTGATAGAAGGATAAATTAAAAGTCTGATCTTAATCTCATAAGTGTGACTAAAATATGGCACTAACTTTTTCTTGTCTAGATAGCTGGAATGAGGCTTACAAACAGTTATCAGGAGAGAGCTTGCTGGTCTAACAACTTTGGGTGTTGGACACATCCATTTAGTAATATTTAGCAAGATATAATATTCCATTTTCTCTTCAGGAGCACAGACTCTTTCTCATACTGGATTATTCTACCTTTGACAGTCATTTTTCAACATGACTCAATTTTAGATAAAGCATTGTGTGCTTATAGAACCTTCTGCTTGAGTAAAAATAATCTTCAAATAAAAATAATGAAGTAGAAACAAGATAGGGGGCACCAAGATGGCCGAATAGGAACAGCTCCAGCCTCCAGCTCCCAGCGTGAGCGACACAGAAGACGGGTGATTTCTGCATTTCCAACTGAGGTACTGGGTTCATCTCACTGGGGCGTGTCTGACAGTCAGTACAGGACAGTGGGTGCAGTCCAACGAGTGAGAGCTGAAGCAGGGGGAGTCACTACCTCACCCAGGAAGTGCAAGGGAAATGGTGACACACAACACCTGGAAAATTAGGTCACTCCCACCATAATACTGTGCTTCTCCAAGGGTCTTAGCAAACGGCACACCAGGAGATTGTATCCCGCGCCTGGCTGGGAGCACGGAGCCTCCCTCATTGCTAGCACAGCAGTCTAAGATCTAACCACAAGGCGGCAGCGAGGCTGGGGGAGGGGCACCCACCATTGCTGAGACTTAAGTAGGTAAACAAAGCACCCAGGAAGCTCGAAGTGGGTGGAGCCCACTACAGCTCAAGGAGGCCTTGCCTGCCTCTGGGGACAGGGTATAGTAAACAAAAAGCAGCAGAAACCTCTGCAGATGTAAATGGCCCTGTCTGCCAGCTTTGAAGAGAGTAGTGATTCTCCTAGCACGGAGGTTGAGATCTTAGAATGGACAGACTGCCTGATCAAGTGGGTCCCTGACCCCCAAGTAGTCTAACTGGGAGAGCCTAACTAGGAGTAGCCTAACTGGAGTGGACCTCAAGCAAACTCCAAGAGACCTGCAGCTGAGGGTCCTGACTGTTAGAAGGAAAACTAACAAACAGAAAAGACATCCACACCAAAACCCCATCTGTACATCACCATCATCAAAGACCAAAGGTAGACAGAACCACACAGATAGGGAAAAAGCAATGCAGAAAAGCTGAAAATTCAAAAAATCAGAGCACCTCTCCCCCTCCAAAGGAACGCAGCTCCTTGCCAGCAATGGAACAAAGCTGGATGGAGAATGACTTTGACGAGTTGAGAGAAGAAGGCGTCAGTTGATCAAACTTCTCAGAGCTAAAGGAGGCACTACAAACCCGGAGCAAAAAAACTAAAAACGTTGAAAAAAGATTTGACGGATGGATAACTAGAATAACCAATGCAGAGAAGTCCATAAACGACCTGATAGAGATGAAAACCATGACACGAGAACTACGTGACAAATGCACAAGCTTCAGTAACCGACCCAATCAACTGGAAGAAAGAGTATCAGTGATTGAAGATCAAATGAATGAAATGAAGTGAGAAGAGAAGTTTAGAGAAAAAAGAGTGAAAAGAATGAGCAAAGCCTCCAAGAAATATGGGATTATGTGAAAAGGCCAAATCTATGTCTGATTAGTGTACCTGAAAGTGACGGGGAGAATGCAACCCAGTTGGAAAACACTCTGCAAGATATTATCCAGGATAACTTCCCCAACCTAGCAAGGAAGGCCAACATTCAAATTCAGGAAATACAGAGAACGCCACAAAGATACTCCTCGAGATGAGCAACTCCAAGACACATAATTGTCAGATTCACCAAAGTTGAAATGAAGGAAAAAATGTTCAGGGCAGCCAGAGAGAAAGGCCGGGTTACACACAAAGGGAAGCCCATCAGACTAACAGCAGATCTCTCAGCAGAAACTCTACAAGCCAGAAGAGAGTGGGGGCCAATATTCAACATTCTTAAAGAATTTTCAACCCAGAATTTCATATCCAGCCAAACTAAGTTTCATCATAATAATCCTTTACAGACAAGCAAATGCTTAGAGGTTTTGTCACCACCAGGCCTGCCCTACAAGAGCTCCTGAAGGAAGCACTAAACATGGAAAGGAACAACCAGTACCAGCCATTGCAAAAACATGTCAAAATGTAAAGTCCATTGATGCTAGGAAGAAACTGCATCAACTAGCGAGCAAAATAACCAGCTAATATCATAATGGCAGGATCAAGTTCACACATAACAATTTTTTTTTTTTTTTTTTTTTTGAGACGGAGTCTTGCTCTGTCGCCCAGGCTGGAGTGTAGTGGCCGGATCTCTGCTCACTGCAAGCTCTGCCTCCCGGGTTTACGCCATTCTCCTGCCTCAGCCTCCCGAGTGACTGGGACTACAGGCGCCCACCACCTCGCCCGGCTAGTTTTTTGTATTTTTTAGTAGAGACGGGGTTTCACCGTGTTAGCCAGGATGGTCTCAATCTCCTGACCTCGTGATCCGCCCAACTCGGCCTCCCACATAACAATATTAACCTTAAATGTAAATGGACTAAACGGTCCAATTAAAAGACACAGACTGGCGAATTGGATAAAGAGTCAAGACCCATCAATTTGCTGTATTGAGGAGACCCATCTCACATGCAGAGACATACATAGGCTCAAAATATAAGGATGGAGGAAGCTCTACCAAGCAAATGGAAAACAAACACAGCAGGGGTTGCAATCTTAGTCTCTGATGAAACAGACTTTAAACCATCAAAGATCAAAAGAGACAAAGAAGGCCCTTACATAATGGTAAAGGGATCAGTTCATCAGGAAGAGCTAACTATCCTAAATATATATGCACCCAATACAGGAGCACCCAGATTCATAAAGCAAGTCCTTAGAGACTTACAAAGAGACTTAGACTCCCACACAATCATAATGGGAGACTTTAACACCCCACTGTCAACATTAGATCAACAAGACAAAGTTAACACGGATATCCAGGAATTGAACTCAACTCTGTACCAAGCGGATCTAATAGACATCTACAGAACTCTCCACTCTAAATCAACAGAATATACATTCTTCTCAGCATATCACACTTTTTCCAAAATTGACCACATAGTTGGAAGTAACGCACTCCTCAGCAAATGTAAGAGAACATAAATTATAACAAACTGTCTCTCAGACCACAGTGCAATCAAACTAGAACTCAGGACTAAGAAACTCAATCAAAACCGCTCAACTACATGGAAACTGAACAACCTGCTCCTGAATGACTATGAGTAAATAACGAAATGAAGGCAGAAATAAAGATGTTCTTTGAAACCAGTGAGAACAAAGATACAACATACCAGAATGTCTGGGACACATTTAAAGCACTGTGTAGAGGGAAATTTATAGCACTAAATGCCCACAAGAGAAAGCAGGAAAGATCTAAAATTGACACTCTAACATCACAATTAAAAGAACTAGAGAAGCAAGAGCAAACACATTCGAAAGCTAGCAGAAGGCAAGAAATAACTAAGATCAGAGCAGAACTGAAGGAGATAGAGACACAAAAAACCCTTCAAAAATCTATGAATCCAGGAGCTGGTTATTTGAAAAGATCAACAAAATTGATAGACCACTAGCAAGACTAATAAAGAAGAAAAGAAAGAAGAATCAAATAGAAGCAATAAAAAATGATAAAGGGGATATCACCACCAACCACACAGAAATACAAACTACCATCAGAGAGTACTATAAACACCTCTATGCAAATAAAGTAGAAAATCTAGAAGAAATGGATAATTTCCTGGACACTTACACTCTCCCAAGACTAAACCAGGAAGAAGTTGAATCCCTGAATAGACCAATAGCAGGCTCTGAAATTGAGGCAATAATTAATAACCTACCAACCAAAAAAGTCCAGGAACAGATGGATTCACAGCCGAATTCTACCAGAGGTACAAGGAGGAGTTGGTACCATTCCTCCTGAAACTATTCCAATCAATAGAAAAAGAGGGAATCCTCACTAACTCATTTTATGAGGCCAACATCATCCTGATACCAAAGCCTGACAGAGATACAACAAAAAAAGAGAATTTTAGACCAATATCCCTGAATGCAAATGCAAAAATCCTAATAAAATGCTGGCAAAGTACTGAATCCAGCAGCACATCAAAAAGCTTATCCACTATGATCAAGTGGGCTTCATTCCTGGGATGCAAGGCTGGTTCAACATATGCAAATCAATAAAAGTAATCCAGCATATAAACAGAACCAAAGACAAAAACCACATGATTATCTCAATAGATGCAGAAAAGGCCTTTGACAAAATTCAACAGTCCTTTATGCTAAAAACTCTCAATAAATTCGGTATTGATGGAACGTATCTCAAAATAATTGGAGCTCTTTATGACAAACCCACAACTAATATCATACTGAATGGGCAAAAACTGGAAGCATTCCCTTTGAAAACTGGCACAAGACAGGGATGCCCTGTCTCACCACTCCTATTCAACATAGTGTTGGAAGTTCTGGCTAGGGCAATCAGGCAAGCAAAAGAAATCAAGGGTATTCAGTTAGGAAAAGAAGAAGTCAAATTGTCCCTGTTTGCAGATGACATGATTGT